ATGAATGAAACAAATTAGAACAAGTTAGAACACTCTAAAAGTCTTTACACAATTTATACCTGCAGTATCGGAAATGAAAAATGATGTAAAGATAAAATATATAGCATAGGGAATTATAAAAAATAAATGCTGACAATTCAAAATAAAGGGAAAAAATCTAAACAAAGAAAAACAAAAAACTAAAAAGATGATTCGACATATAAGAAAGTATATTACTGGGGCAGATTATGTGCGATTGCACAGAGATAGTTGATATGAGCTGGCCAACTTTTACTATCATTAAAGAGCTCTTTCTTTCTTTCTTTCTTTCTTTCTTTCTTTCTTTCTTTCTTTCTTTCTTTCTTTCTTTCTTTCTTTCTTTCTTTCTTTCTTTCATAGCATGGCTTTTTGTGGAGAATACATTCAGACTCACTTACTACATAGTGCTGCACTTTTTGCAATTCTTCCCTGATTCAATATACACCGGCATGAGTATTCGTTATTAAATTTGCCTCTGCCCAACTCATGTGCCATATTTCTGTGTTGTTATGGGTAAGCAGATATCCATTCCACATGCACTCATATATAGACTACAAATTTTGTGGAAAAAATTCTGGTGATTGCATATAACAGTATTGCATAAGAGTCTTTTTAAATTGTTTATTTCAAAATATTAAGAGGGTACAAATGTTTTTATGATGTGGATAACTTATAGAATGCTTATGTCAGGGCTTTTAGTGTGTTCATCACCAGAATAGTAAGTTCATCATCAGAATAAATAATAATAGTAATATACCCAATAGGTAAGTTTTTACCACTCACCCCTTGCCATCCTGCCTCTTTCTTGACCCCCAATGAACTTTACATCTTGTTGTGCCCATGTGTGCCCATTGTGTAGCTCCCAATTATTACAGAGTACATGTAGTATTTGTTTTTCTATTCATGAGATACTTTGCTTAGGATAATGGTCTCTAGTTCCATCCAAGTTGCTGCAAAAGACATTATTTCATTGCTTTTTATGGCTGAGTAGTACTCCATGGTGTATATAGACATATTACATTTTCTTAATACACTCATAAGTAGATAGGCATTTAGGTTGTTTTCATATCCTTGCAATTGTGAATTGTGCTACAATAAACATTTGAGTGAACGTGGCTTTTTTATATATTTTAAAATGACTTATTTTCCTTGTGGTAGATACCCAGTAGTGGGATTGCTGGATTGAATGGTTGGTCTAAATTTATTTATTTGAAGAATCCCCATACTGTTTTCTATAGAGGTTGTACTAATTTGCGGTTTCACCAAAAGTGTGTAAGTGTTCCTTTCCCTTTGCATCCTTACCAGCATACATTGTTTTTTTGACTTTTTAATAATGGCCATTCTGACAGGGGTAAGATATTCTCTCATCATGGTTTTAACTTGCATTTTTCTGATGATTAGTGATATTGAGCACTTTTTATATGTTGTTTGGCCATTTGTCTATTTTCTTTTAAAAACTTCTATGCATGCCCACTTTTTTTTTTTTTATTTCGGCCATAAATTAATAAGCCAGCGATAAAACAGATATTTACAGGATAAAAAAATTACAATAAAATGCCCATTTCCCCTCCCCAAAAGTCTGAGTCTCCATCATGACCATCCCCTAGATGGTGCACATCTCACTCATTATGTATGTATATACCGCCCCCTCCCCTCTCCCACCTCCCAATACCTATTACTGTAGTACCTATGTGTCCACTTAGGTGCTACTCAGTTAATACTAGTTTGCTGGAGAATATATCTGGGGCTTGTTTTTCCATTCTTGGGATACTTCACTTAGTACTATGGGTTCCAGCTCAACCAGGAAAATATATGTGTATATATGTGATGTCTATATCACCATTGTTTCTTAGAGCTGAATAGTACTCCATGGTATACATATACCACATTTTATTAATCCATTCTTGGATTGATGGGCACTTGGGCTGTTTCCACAGCCTTGCGATTATGAATTGTGCTGCTATAAACATTCGAGTGCAGGTGTCTTTTTTGTAGAGTGTCACTGGATCATTTGGGTAGATGCCCAGCAATGGGATTTGCTGGATCAAATGTCACATTCACTTGTATCGCTTTAAGGTATCTCCATATTGCTTTCCACAGAGGTTGAACTAGTTTGCAGTCCCCCCAGCAGTGTAGGAGTGTTCTCTCTCCTCCACAACCACGCCAGCATTTATTGTTTGGAGGTTTTTTGATAAAGGCCATTCTCACTGGAGTTAAGTGATATCTCATTGTGGTTTTGATTTGCATTTCCCTGATGATTAGAGATGTTGAGCATTTCTTCATATGTTTGTTGGCCATTCTTCTGTCTTCTTTAGAAAAATTTCTGTTCAAGTCCTTTGCCCACTTTTTAATGGGGTCATTTTTTCTTCCTGATTTGTTTGAGTTCTTTGTAGATTCTGGATATTAGCCCTTTATTGGATATATAGTTTGTGAAATTTCCTCCCATTCAGTAGGTTGTCTATTTACTTTATTTCCTTTGCTGTGCAGAAGTTTTTGTTGTTGTTGTTTTAATTAAAGATCAATTTATTTATTTTTGTTGCTGCTGTATTTGCCTTTGGGGTCTTAATCATAAATTCTTTGCTTAGGCTGATGTCTAGAAGAGATTTTCCCTATGTTTTCTTCTAGAATTTTTATGGTTTCATGACTTACATTTAAGTCTTTTACTTACCTTTAATTAATTTTTGTATATGGCCAGAGACAGGGATCCTGTTTCATTCTTCTGCATGTGGCTATCAAATTTTCCCACCACCATTTATTGAATAAGGCTTCATTTCTCCAGTCTATGTTGTTGTCTGCTTTGTTGAAGATCAGTTAGTTGTAGGTAGATCCTTTTATTTCTGGGTTCACTATTGGTCTATATCCCTACCTTTATACCAGTAAGTATACTTTTACCCTACTGTGCACATAATTATTTTTGAACCATTCAGTAACTTCTCTGGCTTTTATCAGCAAATGTGGCTTCAATTCAGTAAAATTTCCTGGCTGGAAGAGGTGATGATGCAGACAAATGATACAACTTTAAACTGAAATTTTTGTGGTTGCCATATCTCATGGCCAATCCACTCACCATAATTTTGCACCAGATTCATTGGGCTAAATGAACAAAACGAACAAACAAATTGTATTGGTAACACTTTGAAATTCATTTAGAGGACTTGATTTCACCTAATTCCAAATCTGTCATTGTGTCTTTGGGATTCATTTAAATATGAGGGATTTAGGCTTTAGGGATTTTAATTTTTTGGGATTTCAACATTCTGGCTTATGGCATTCAAGATTTGTGTCTTTTGGTATTATGTACCAAACCCAGAAGACAGGACTTTTAACAGAACATCTGATAAAAGTGAACTGTTAGAAAAGCTCAGACAATATTTTGCATCTAATTCCCTTTTGAGTAATTTGCTCTTTCTAATGTGCATATGCATAAGGTAAGAAGTTGCTAAAAAAAAAGAAAGAGAAAGGAAGAAAAGTAGAAACAAAGAAAGAAAGAGAAAGAGGGAGAGGGGAGGGAAGGAGAAAATGGAAGGAAGGAAGGAAGAAAAGAAAGAAAGAAAAAAGAAAAAGAAAGTAGCTGCTCAACAGCTCTAAAAACAATTTAAAGAACATTGTTAAGGTTAAAAAAATGAGCCCAAATATCCATTATCAATAGAATGAATAATAAAATTTTGTGTATTTATATAGTAGAATATTACACAAAAAAGAAATAGAACAAATTATTTGAGCAATAATGATGAATATCATAGATGGACTGTTGAATTAAAAATGCCAGACATAATTGGATAATGTGAAATGCACTCTTTTTTTTTTTTTTTTGATTTTAACTGTTTTTTTTTTTCCTTCAATGAAAGCCTCTCATTTTGAAAAGATGTTTTTCTTCAAGCAACAAAGGTGGTAGATGAAATTCCTCAACTTTCTCAAGTCATATAATAGTTCACTGGCCTCCATAAAGCACCAATTAAGAAAGCTAAAGAATAAGATGTTGCATTTCTTTTAAAATAATTTAAAATATATTAAATTTTCCTAAGGCAGATTTTGCTTGAATGAGGTGTCTTGATTAGGTCACTACATGCCACTGAAGGAGAACAGTACTTTTAAGGAGTTATTTCTGTTTGGGGGTAGAGTTGAAAACAGCTGATTAATCCAATGAGGTTAGGCAGCAAAGACAGATCTCGTACACAAGAGTATCAGCTAAATCATGACAACACCAATTCTTTACACAGTTAAGACACATCTTTGCAACTGTTCAATTTAAGTACTATGGTTTTTAGATATCATCAAGAAAAACACAATTGTACCTTAACATCTGTTGAGAAAATACAAATAAATATGATGCTAATAAATGGCAACTGACCACTCAGTAGCTATTTGAACAGTCATGCAGTTTAGAAATACACCCTTGTATAATCTGACATACAAATTGGTCATCTGCACATGCATACCATTAAAAAAAAAAAGCCAATAATAGTGTCTGGATCAGTCAGGAGCATAGCCTGATTCCCCTGTAATTTAGTTAAGCTAATACCTCATACCACATGGCTCCATGAAAACTTTGTCCTGCTGGTCAGAAGGGAGCCAGAGGAAGGAAAGGAAAGCGACCCTGACCATAGCAGGAGAGAGAACTTGAAACAATGCTACCACTGCATTGGCAACGCAAGGATGATAGTATGAGGCAGAAGTCATACTTCCCAGTTGAGGGGATGTGACCCTCTCTGCCACCTAAGAGGCTCTGGAAGCCTACTTACTTTTATAAAAACATCAATAACTGCACTTTGAATCAAAACGACTAGGAAGAGTTCAACACTTGCTATTCATAACAGGACCACAGATTAAAGGTGCCAAAAGGTTTGGCTCTGTTGCCACAGAAGTGGAATCGCTTCTAAGGCTGACTTTCACATGCCATGGAGAGAAAGATCCATGACTAGTCCGCTGGAATCTGGTTTTGCTACATTCTATTCACAATCCCAAAGAAATGCTATTTTAGCCCATGACCAAATGTTTGGTCCATTATTTCAGCTACTCCTTTGCCAAGATTTATCCTGCTACAAAGAAAACAAGTAAGGTAAGTAGCGTTGCTTAAAAAGTCCTGTATGTAAGGAACTCTTTCATCTTCTTGGAGATTGGCAGTGCTAGGACTTAGTAAGTTGTTAGGAAACTTCGAAGGGCTTTCCGGCATAAGTGTTTCAGTGAGGATAGGACCCTAGGAGCTGTCCAGAATTGGACATGGCCATCTCTCGTCCCTGTGGCAATAACTCCACCATGTGGAAAAAATGTGCAGCAAAGACCATTGGTCATAGGAGCAAATGCAATTGGAGTTTTCACTTCCAGGGACCAGATCCTGAGGAGTCTGTCATCTGCCACCGTAGCAAGGTACAAGCCTCTGGAGAGAAGCACATGGATCTTATGAGCTAATGTGGACATCGCTGTCTTCCATGCCATGGTCGACCGGGCTGTGGCGGAGTGACCTCAGCCTTTCGCCAGTGTAGGGGTCCCACATAATCACATTGGTGTCATAAGAAGCTGTGACAAGCAAGGCTGAGTCCGGGGAAAAGTTACAAGAGACAACACTGCTTTGGTGGCCTTCTAGCTTCCGGATTAACGTGTAGGACCGCATGCTCCATAGAAAGACAGACTTCTCTCCAGCTGCTGAGCACAACATGCTACAGTCTGGCGAAATGGAACAGCAGTAAACCCACTGCAGGTGGCCCGATAACACCTGAATCTGTTTACCATGTTTATTCAGGTCCCAAATTCGAAGAGTCTTATCCCGTGACGCAGAGACCAAAATCAAACTGCCACTGGGTGTGAAGCTCAGATCTCTCACGACATCCTGGTGGCCGGTAAGATTCAAAAGCAGGAGCCCTGTCTGCACCTCCCAAATCTTGATCTGCCCATCGTTGAGTCCCGTAGCAAGGATCAGGCAGGAGATATCTGGCACTTGGGGATGGTGGCGTGCCCAGAGCTTCCTGCTAGGTAGCGATGGCCATGAGCTGAAGGCCAACCGCCAGACAATCCTCCCACAGTCCAGCGTCTTCTCCTTTGGGCTGCCTCGTCCTTTGGTCTCATTTTTGCTACTTCGACTTTTGGCTTCAAACCCTTTAGGGATGAACTGCTCCTCCAGTGGCCAGGGGATCAGCTTGATGATACAGTGTCCTTGAGACCAAGCGAACCAGGAGCCATCGGGAGAGAAGACGACACTCCAGGTTTCACAGCTCGACTTCCAATCGAATTGGTGGGGGCGCCCGGGCTTGAGTTTGGCCAGCAGCAGAGGTTCTTCAATATTTAAGCACCGGGATAATTTAATCTTTGTTTCTCCCATGCCTAGCACTGTATCTTGCAAAGCAGCAGGCTCTGGATTGGTGCTCCTAGTCCAACTCTCTTCTCTGACAGAAGATTAACAAAAATCCCACAAAGCTGTGAAATGCACTCTTTATAGAATGTTCATAAACAGGCAAGAACGAACAAATGGTGATGAAAATCAGCATAGTTTATACCTTTGCAATGTGTATAATAACTGGAATGAGACATGAGGGGGATTCTGGAGTGCTCTTATTATTTTACATCTTAATATGAGTGGTTGTTTTATGCACATGTTACTATGCATAAATCAATTGAGCTGTATACTTAAAATTTGCTTATTTCTAAGTGTTATATTTCAATAGAAATATAAAAAACAAATAAAAAAACCTATTTCCTACTAATATATAAACTACTGTAAAAACCAAACTTTATTGCTAATGTAGTAAGTGAGGATTCTGTGACTAAAATACATTCTTTGTAGTATAATTTGTGAAATATACATTTGATTATTAATGAAAGTATAATATCCAACAGTAGCCATTCCATTTACACAGTAGAGAACAGGATACAAGACAAATGATTGAAAAAAAGGTTACCTGAGAGAAGCAATTTACTTAGATTGAGCTGTCAAATTTATATTTTATTTTAAGTGAGAAGGACAGGAGTAAATACCCCAATCAAAATATAGCCTGTGGATATAACATGCTTCCACAAATCAAATGTATGCAGACTTATCTTGGATTTTGACATGTATATGGTTTTTCAAACTTTCATTGATTTTGATATTAACCTTCTTACTGAGCACAGAGGAACATTTTACCTCACCCTAATATTGTTCTGTGAAGAAATGATATAAAATATTGAACAATAGCGGCCAGGTTACCAATGCACCAGAATGGATGCCAGCCATAATGAACTGACACATCCCTACGGCAATGTCCCGGCTAAATATCAGCCTGGCTAGGTGCCATGGTAATGTGTTTGCAAAAATAAATATTAGTCATGTAATGTAAATCTAAAGGTCACTACTATTATAATAAGGACCTGAGGAATTATGAATTACTACTATACTACAAAACATTAAGTAATTAGTGCTTCCATATATAAATGTGTCATATTTGAGCAACATTTAAAGATTATAAACTAAGCATGTATTATCTCAAATTGACATTGCCATACAAGATGACTAAAATAAGCCTTTCCATTTAGAGTTAATGCCAGATGAGTTCTCATTGGTATATTCTGTTTTAAATGTTCCTATAATCGAAAAATGGTTCCAATATTCCTCAATAGAATACATACAACTGTTGAAACATCTCAGAAAAATAAAATGTCTTAGAGTATATTACCTGAGCCTCTCAATGCAAATATTAATAATAATCTATTTATCCAGGTAAATGGACTCACCTAATAATGTACAAAACAATCAATAAATAGCTACCATCACTTCAGAAATCCATTTAATAATTTTCCCTGATAACCTTTCTCCTTTCGCATCTGACTATCAGAAGCCCACTTTGATGTTTCCTTTTATTTGCCACACATGAATTTGATCAACTGGGCTGGCTGAAATTGCTCACTCAAATATTTATTTCTCTGTGCCTGTTATTAGTGAACTCTGCCTTCTCTTGTTGATTGATGTGCAGGGTAATCCCAATACAGCCCTCTTCAAACAGGCATTCGTTTTGAGTTATGTGCAGTACACACACACACTACTACACTTTCTATTGTGTCTGTCCATTTACACATGCCTAATTGCTTTCCACAAATATTTGAATGTTTTGTTTTGAGGATTTCTGTATAAGTGAACTTCATTCTTTAACGTACAAACATAATGTAACAAAAAAAGTGTTAAGACAAAATAGGTATAAACCTCTCAATTTTGTAAAACAATAAAATTAAATGCAATGTCTTAAAAATGCAACACAAATGCACTACACAGGATGATTTGCTAAACCAATACAATGGACTATATAGCATAATAATAGCATAAGTATAATTGTACATTTTAATGAGTTTGACAAGAATATACTATACTAGCTGTTATAAATATCAGCAATTGACTGACAATAATATAGCTTTTGCCACCTTAGCTTGCCACCTTTTGAAAATCTTATGGAACTCTATGGATGGCCTGGCCTGAGTCTCATTAAAAATATCATTACAAGAAAGTTTAAGCAGATTTGTCATTTTTCTGGATAGATTTTCATGAAGCAAGCAAACATAATCATAATTATTTCATAAACTATATATCACAGTGCTGCTGATGGAGCTATAGAGTCAATCAGGTATCCTGATATGGAAATATGTCAAACTAGGCATTCTTTTTCTATTTTTATGTATTTCCTTAGCAGTAACTAGATTCAATGAACTAAGTATAGAGTTAGGATGCTGGTGTAAGAAAAGGATAAACTCCCTGATTTTAATGACTGCAGAAAATAATTGAAGTGTTCAACATAAGATAAAATAAAGTGAACTAAAACAAATACTTTTAAACAATATTTTTGACACTTTTTGATTATACATATCCTGTATTAATTAATTCTTATAAATCAAATTTACTGAGACCTTACCAGGTACTGTACACTAAATGGAGAGAAAAATAGTTTTGACCTTAAGGAGATTAGAAAACCCAAGAAAATACCTGCTCATATCATATTTTTCGAAAGCAACTTCATAACAATTTACACTACATTGCTAAAAGTAATCATATGATGATAAACAGGATCTTATTTGGATTTATACTATTGCCCTATTTTACCAAAGCAAAAATGCACAACAGTGAGTTAAGAGGATCAGAGGTTGTCATGGTTTAATGTAGATGTCAACTTGACTGGATTAAAAAATACCTAGAGTGAGAGTGTTTGCAAAAGAAATTAGCGTGTGAGTCCGAGTAGAGTAGACTCAGCAGGAAAGATCTGCCCTCAGTGTTGGGGGTGGATGCACTGCCCAATCGGCTTGCATCTCTGATAGAACAAAAACAATGAAAAGGCAGATGGATTTCTCTCTCAGGGAGCTGGGATACAATCTTTGTCCCCTGCCTTGGACATCATAACTCAAGCCTTTCTGACCTTGACACTCCAGGACTTATACCAGCAAGCATCCAGATTCTCAGGCTTTAAGCCTTAGCCTGAGAGTTATACCATTGGCTTCACTGGTTCTGAGGCCTTCAGACATGGAATGAGCCATGCTACTAGCATCCCAGGATTTGCAGCCTGTGGACAGCCTGTTGTAGGACTTCTCAGCTTCTATAATTGTGTGATCCAATTCACCTAATAAACGCTCTCTTGTCTGTCTATCTGTCCTATTGGTTCTGTCTCCCTAGAGAACCCTAATACCAAATTAATAAAAAATTAGCAAAATAATTCGACATTCTAGTGGATTCATTCAAACATTTAACTAGTATTTATTTATTGCCTCTTATTAGCAAGGCATGGTATGGGATTTATCAGATGAATGAATTAAATTAAATATTTATTTAGAGATTAAAGAAATATGGATGAGATTTTCCTTTCCAGGATTTGCCTTGTATAGTGAAAGATAGGCATTAAATTGGGTTGTACTAAGTATTAATCCTGGGGTGGAGATTTCAACTTATAATCCAACAGAATAATCTTTCTTTGCATTCTAGTAGGTTCCATGTGCAAGGGGATGCTGAGCTTCTCCAAACAAGGTCCAACCCTCTTTCTTTCACTCTTTTTCACTTTTGTTTCTTTGACTACTTTGAATTATGTGGCTGGTTCAAATGCACTTCCTGCTGGAAGAGCACTATTATTGATCATCTTCACCTCTCTTCTCCACTGAAAAGACTGCTGATAGTCTGAGATGGTTCTGTTTACAGAAATGTGACAAGAGTTTCTTCTTTATCACAGGTTAGATCTTTAAAGGTTGATATTGTCACTAAAGAGCAGTGAGATCCAAGATTCCTATGTTTATTTAATGCAAAGGATAAAATATTAGAAATTTCACCTTGCTTTGCTTCAAAATATTAAATACTTTTAGACCATGAGAAAAATTTGTTTTGTGCTTACCCTAGATCAAAATGGACTACATTAAGATTCGGGGCTTACTTTCATCCACTGTAGTATGATTTACTTTTAACCACAGTATAAATGTCCTGCTGTTTAACTAATATTTTGTGCCAGTTAACCTAATGATTTTGTGCCAATTTGAACTATGTTGCAACACACTATATTCCTTTTGCCTAATGACAAAGCCAATGTATAAATGGGATAGATAGATAGCGAATGAAAAGTTAGTTAGACATTTTAATTAGATCGCAAATATGTTCTTCATAAGAATTAAGGAATTTGTCAGAGAATGGAGATCAAGTAAGATAATAAAAGCTGAATTCACTTTTTACTTCAATTCCTGACTTTTTGAAGAGTAAAAAGATTTTTTAAATGTGGTTCAATGTCAGAACTGTGATTAGAAAATGACAGGAGTAAAGATAAAGTAAGAAAATTAAGTCTCTGAGGAACAGGATGGCAAAGTTCTTTGATAATTAGAACCACAGCCTTTTCTAGTGGCCAGTTAAAATCCCAAATCCAGCAGATTTTAGTACAGGCCAAAAGTACTTGGTTTGATGGATGTTAAATATCATTTATGACACAAAGACAAAGTAATTGGTCTTGAATCTTTGAAATCATTTCTTCACATGTACAATAGCAATTGGCAAACTCATTACCTTGCTCTACTAAAGTTGGCAAGGATTAAAATAGAAAAGTAGAGTAACCTATTGGATAGAGTATAAAAGGATTTGTTAGAGAAGTATTAGCTAATCTGCTCTTTTTATTTTCCTCAAGACTAAATTTGGACAATCAATTTTAAAACTAAACTATATTTTTGAAGCCAAATGTAACAGAACAAATGATTCTTCCCTCTTTTCCCCAGTATAATGTCATTATTATTTTAAACACTTTACTCCCAGCCTCACATCTTGGTAGAAATATCATGGGTTAGAAATATAATTAATATTATTTCAGTCAAGATGGTGTTAAAGTTTATGCTTTAAAGCTTCCCCTTCTCTCTGAA